GAAGCAAGGCCTAAGCTTTCTCACCTTAATCCTCAATATTGATAGAGAAATAGGGAAGGAGATGGACCTATAGCAGAACAGGGGAGAGAATTTTTGCATGATACACGAAAGAGGAAGAGAAACAAGACCAACCGAACTAGACCAAGGAGTAAAAGACTAACAAGTAGTACCTTAGATCAATAATTCAACTCTTACGCCACCCACTACATGAACACAAACCGTGAAAGCAAGACAAGGAACGATGGAGGACCAACTGAAACATTCTCACTCTACTAAACACAATTAGTTATGATACACATGGTAATCAAAGGATTAGCTCAAAGAGTGATTACCAAGGTTTGATCCAAAAGTAAGAGATCCTAAGTTTTCTAAATAGAAACAAGTTAAAATTGATTAAAATCTTCCATATCAGAATAAAAATAAGTTTCAGAAGCATGGGACACCTCAGAGGAGTGAAAGAAGTCGAAAACAGTTGAAAAACAAACATGTACTGTGATTCAAAGCAATATGCCACGACTCGTGCACGCTGTGCCGTAGCTCATTGCTCTCTATGCTATATGCCGCAGCTCAGGCGCCATGCACCATGGTGTGTTGCACAAAATTTTCACTAGTTCTGCTGTCATTGACAATAAAATCAAGGGAACTTTCGACTTGCCCCATTTCTTCGTTCGACATTCAAATGATGCGATCTAGGTATCTATAAAAAGTTCTTTACATGAACTAGCTGATGGCATGGGTTTCACTTCTAAAACCAGTTACACTAGGAAGATGAACACCCAAACACATTTTAACCACTTTTCAACAAGTGCCAAAAGCTTTTTCTAACACCTAGACCATGTCTAATAGACCTAGGACTACTAATACAACACATCACAAGCACTAAAATATCATTATAACTAAAATTCACTCCTTAACCCCAATTTATCAAAAGCAAAGGGGAAGGTAAATTAGCATTGCAATTCACTCAAATCATTTAAAACATGTTCAAATCTTTATTTATATACTTGTACTAGTATTTTGACCCTATAAACATATATACATTAGCATACATGAAGGCTAAGGGCCCATAATACAATTCTAACATTTTCAACAACTAAAATAGTGCAAGTGTTATGATATGCATCCTAGAATTGGCAAATCATATACTATTACGCAATTAAGTTTAAACTACAGGCGTATAGAAGGAATATGCTAATCCCTGCCTCTTTAATCTTCTCCCTCTTAATACCAGAGCTAGAGCCTGAAAAATGTTAAAGGAAAGGGTGAGCCTAGCCACTCAATAACCAAGGTTAAACCTACTCTATGCAGTTATATATCAATCATAACCAAATACATACACAAGTGAAATCAAATTTATAAAATATGCTAACATAAATCATATCTTGTCATTTATCGTTAAATAGCTTCTTTAACTCCCATAACTAGGTACATTGTCACCATATTCTCAAATATATGACATGACCCATGCTCATGCGACTTGCCACCACTAAATACGTGACATGTCATATATTTGCTTAGGTAATGATTAACCAACCTTATATCCTGCTCATTTTCTTAGATCGAAACTGTGGGCTATAACATTGATTAGGGCTCCATTCATGTGACTGGACTACCCAAGCTCACCAATCGTGAGGTGTGACCCAGCCAAAGATCACAGGACTCACTCTCAGACCACGGCTTCCCCCATTCTTGAATCTCTAGGGTCACATACCCTAGGCTATTCTCCTTATTGAGCCGGTAGAGATAGCTAGGTTCTAATCCCTCGACAAATAATGGGATAAGGCTATAGCCCTCATGCACCGGAGGGCAGCCTAAATACCATATGAATTTTCTCTACTCCCAAATCCTTAGGCAAACTCCTACCACTTATCATGCCATAAACAATACTCACTTGTTCTCACTTTTCACTTTCATATACTCACTTTTACCACAACCACGTTGGGCTCACGACCTTGTGCTACCCAAGTATGTATTCTTATCATTTCTTTAAAATTCATTTCATTACTAACACACAAATACCTCTACACATCATCACATTTATTTTTTCAAAAGTATAAGCATTTTTCATTTTTTCAAGCCAAAAATAGCTTTTACTTTAACAATCAATTCCATGCATGTAACATTCACAATTTGCATTTAACAACTAATTAACAATTTGTTAACAATCAATTAACATATAACTACCCAATGTAGAGTTTTTCTCTGGTTATCTCAAACTTTTGAGAGGTCAAAGATTTACCCCTAAATCAACTAGCTTCCAAGCTTGAAATTTCAATCAAATAGGTGACCAAGAGCCAAATCTATAATTAACGAAGTTGAATTCTATCAATATAACAAACTCAACAATTGAACCCTCAATCTCTACTTCTAAATTTCCCAACATTCACTCTACAAGAGGTGGAGCCTAACCATTGGGTTTAATAGTTACCTTTAGTCCCCAATAGTATTAATGATTGTTAAATCCCCATTGATGCATCACAAGCTTTCAACCGCCCATAATAAATGGGATTTTCAGACATTAATGGTGCCTAACAACCTAAGACACCAAAACTCATTATATTTAGGTTTAGATACTCTAATCGACCTCCATTAACTCCATTTGAGTCAACAAATTTGGACCCATAACCTATATGGACTGAAATCCCACTTTCACTATCAAACCCTAACCATAAACTCTCAAATGTGGAAGAAATAGGGAGATTAATGAGTGTAGCATTTACCTTGGGTATTTATAGCCTTTAAAATACTCCCAAAGTCATCCCTAAGTAAACCCTAGTAGAGTATTGGCGCGTCTCTTCTTTCTCTCTTTTATCTTCTCTCTATTTCTATCTCATTTTGCATCTGATAATCTATAGAAAATGGTCATGTGCCATGGCACAGAGAGATCCTCCTTCACTTAGAAATGGTTGTGCATTGCGGTGGATGATCTACGCGTTACGACATGTGGCATAGTAGCTTCAACTCTTCCTTTTCTTCTCCTTTCGATGCCCGAGTGGCTCACCTTGATACCGAACCTACAACTAGAGCTGAAATACCATCAAATACAATTATTAGACCTATCTGGCCATACACACTACTTCAACTTACTTAATTACCATAATTAGGTTTAATTAATCAGGGAATTAAAACTCAAGATGTTACACCAATAGAGGATAGGAATGATAGAGGACCAATAGTGGTGAGGAATGACAGAGGACCTAGTATTGCATGGTGGCAACGAGCACCCATTAGCAATGGCAGCAACTGGAAAAAAAGGGAAGAGATGAACGCATAAAGGAGGATGAAGGAATGGCTGATCAAAGCTTCTCTCTCTCTCTCTCTCTCTCTCTTCGAATGAGAATTTATCAAATTTGAAATAGGAGTAGTTCAATAATTTCATAAAGTAAAATGGCAAAAAAAAAAATAATAAGTCTCCCTTTTTGGCCTTCATCAAGTTCAAACTTAGAACCTATTAGGGGGATTCTTGGATAGCTTCCACTACACTAGCTTTCCTTCTTGTCATATATGTCTCAAGAATTAATATAATTACTATTAGAACATATTATTACATATTATATTTTTTTAAATTACTAGGTTATTATAGCTCTATCTCCTCCTCTTAGACTGTGGGGTTGTGGCTCTTTTAATTTTTTTTGTGTTGTCCATGAGTCGTGTTTGTGTAGCAACTACTACTACGTATTGGTCAAGGTAAGATATTGATTCTCCTTTCTTCCATGAGTATAGGTAGTAGTATGCTGTGCAATTTACTCTTCTTTCTTCATTGGTTGAAAGTGTACTCTGGTTCCCTATATTATTGTCTTAAGGTGGTAGAAATAATTGGGTGGTGTGGATCATATACTATTTTAGTATATGTTGAACTAGACCTTTGCAAAAGAAATTAGAAGATGGAAATTATTGGTTTTACTTGGATGCTTGCTTCATGATTTAGTATGGTGCATGTTCTCTTGGTAATTGTAAATATACTCATGGGTGGAAATAAGATTGTTAGGATTTATAATAAGGCCTAGAGAAATTATAAATATTTATATTGACAAGAAGATTGTTGGGTTATGTGTTAGATTAATTTTAGGACACCATTGAAATAAGTAAGGAGTTGTGGGAGTTGGACTGTAAGATTTTGAAAACTCAAGTGAGTGGGTAGCGTTCCAAATAGATCTTTAGTAAAGTGTTTATAAAATCCTTTATTTTAATTTTACTATTAATCCTTTATAAATTGTACAAGTATCATCATTAATCCTATTTTTGTTCTAATAAATGGCTTATCAATGAAAATGTCTTAATTTTATGAATGAGTTAAATTGTTGATGAGTGACGGGAGAAACATATATATAATTAATGATGTACATTTTTAGTAGTTTAATTACTGAATTTTATGTTGATATAAAATTTTAATGTAATGACTCATGTATGGAGGAAATAATGATTGAATTGGACAATAGAAAATGATGGTTGAATGATATTTGGTAGTGAAAATTTTGAAAATGTTTTCTTGCTCCATACATGATTTTGTTGAGAAGGACTGAATTTGGAACACTGATTGCTAACAGCATGTAATAACCCAAGATTTTAAATTAGTTTTATACCAAGTGGAGAGTGATAAATTATTGAAACTTATGCTAGTAATTTTTTTGAAGGTCCAAAATTTAAATTTTACTAAGAAAAAGTTTGGTTTTATTTATTTTAAAATTAAAAAATTTGTGCCCTTTGTTGTCATTTTTCCTTGCGCTCTTTCTTGTAATTTTCCTAATTTCTATTGGATCAGATTTTTATCTTCCTCTTCCCGTTATATCTCGTGTTTTCAGTCATTAGTTGATACAGCTCCAGGACCTTCACCACTGCCCTTCAATCTTGATCTCTCCTCCATTCATATTGGTCGCTGTCGTCGGAATTAGAGGCGGGCCACTGCTGTTCCATCAAACATGTATTTTCTTCTTCCTTCCTTGCCTAAAACCGTCGGGACCTTCTCCCTCCTTTGTCCATATAATCGTCTAAACGTTCAGGATTTCTTCTCCCTTCACCGTCGTCCTTGGTCGTTCGCCTTTGGTGACTGTGGAAGTGTCAAAACCTTCCTCCTCCGACAGTGTGGCAGCGTGTATGTAACCGGTTTCCTCTTCCCTGTTCACCTGTAGCTATGTCTTCTTCTCCGTGTTTCTGCATCGTTGGCCCATCTAAGGTGATAAATCTTGATCTCTTCTCCTTCTACTTTATATATCGATGTGTGCGAGGGTGTGATGTGATATTGATTAAAGTTACAAGTCTTCCTTCAAAGTTTCTGCTATGCTGTGGCTGTGCAAAAAAAAAAAAAAAAACAAAACAAAACAAAACAAAAACAAAAACAAAAAGAAAAAGAAAATTAATTAAGCTGAAATTCTTGCATTGAAAGTATGATGGTGATATGTATGGGTCTGAACTTCTTAGTCAAACTGATTTTTATGGATTGATTAACATTGAAGATTTGGTGAGAATGAAGTTGGAAGAGAAGCGACTAGATATGAGACTTGGGAAAAGATGCCTATAAGATGCTTGATAAAAGGGTTGAAAGGAAATGTTTTGTTGAGTGATAAAAGCTAAAGGTGATGATTGTGTTATTGAAAAATAAATTGTTATGGAAGCTGATTACCATCTATAAAGGAAGCTTAAATTGAAGTAAAGAGGTTTGGGAAGAGTATATTAATTGATAATTTTAGAGCTATTTTGTTGTTTATATATATATATATATTCATGTCTTTGAAATAATTATAAAATGTTGATGCAATGTTTGAAAAAAGTGGAAGTTGAGATTTATTTGTGATGAGGATGATGTGAGTTTGTCTTCTAATTGAACTTGATTTGATTATTGGTTACATTAATGATATTATGAAATTTTTGGAAGGGAAATTAAAGAGGAAGAGGTTGGTATGTGTTTAAAGATTAATACCCATAAAGTGTTTGATAAAATATCTATTAAGAGAGTTTGGCTTCAATTTGAACTTACTAAAATTTCATTAAATCCTTGGAACACATAGCTGGTCTTAGCATTATCTTGTCAATTGAGCTCAGGGTGGGTCATATAAATTTGATTATGAAGATATTATGTAGTTAGCTAAGTTCTTTGAAAATAATATACTTTTAGTATTTTGACCAAAAAAAAAATTCAATATGAGATTGTATTTTAACCGAGTATTGAGCTATGGCTTTGATGGATTTTATGTGTAGAGTCCCGATTTTAAAATTTTAAATAATTATAGCAAAATTTTGATATTGGTAATGTTGGAAAGAAATTATTGAATATATTGTAAGTTTATTTAAAATCTTAACATAATTTTTAGGGTGTTTGGAAAAGGAAAAATGTGATCAAAGTTTAGAGGGGAATTTTGTATTTTGAAAATTTCAAGTAAGTGAATAGTATCCTAACTGATCATTTTCTGAAAAAATTTTCTTTATTAAAATATTACATTTTATGCAAATCATGTTAATAACAACAATGTGATTATTAGATATTTTGTTGATTAAATTACTTTATTTTGTGAAATTATTTTACTAGATTTAACTATTTTAGTTAAGCACTAAATACAAGTTTGGAATCTAATTATGGAATTTTATTTTAGAAATTATTGAATTGCTATAAAAACAATTCATGCGAGATTGACATTGAAAATAAAAATTTTATTCTAATAGTGAATATTTTTTCACATGTTTGAAATTGGGTTTTAAAAAGGGACTTTATATAGACCACTGGTTGCTAACAGCAGTCCCATTAGACCTTGGCACGCCATGGTCAAATACTAGCTAGTTTTATTTTTGTGAGCTCTATTCTCACGTCTGTTATTCGTGGGTCTCGTACCTGCATCTATTCCATGGCTTTGACCATGTATAGTTAGTTACCCCTGTGGACTGTGTGTCCATGTCTGTTGTGGATTTGAACACGTCTAGTTAGTTACCTCCATGAACCGTGTGTCCACGTCTGTTTTATGGCTTTAGTTGCATCTGGTTACTTATTCTCGTAGATTGTATGTCCAAATTTATCTTCGTGGCATAAGCCATGTTTAGTTATTTACCCTCGTGGACTGTGTGTCCACATTTATTAATTGTTCTAATAAGTCCTTGTAAATATGAATTTGATTATTTAATGATTTTATGTCCCATTTGTTTTTAATTAGTAATCTATTTATAATTACTTATTTCATTTATTTGATTCCTTGAAATCAAGTAATAATATTTGATATGATAATTTAATGGTTCAAGATTTCATTTAAAGTTATATAGAATCCTTTTATTCCAAATTTATTTGAATTTTTATGGAAATTGTTGTCACTTTAATTATATATAATTGTTTTTAACTTTCCTTTTATTCATGTTTAATTGTTTGTTATTGGGATATTATTCACTAGAAATAACTTTGGTCTCAGATAGTGTAGCTAATGTTGAACCACCCCCTGAACATTGAGGAGTTTATGATTTACTAAAAGTTGAGGAGCTAACGATTTAAACTTTCTCTTAATGTAAATTTTTAATTATGAAATTTTATTTTGTAAACTTACCGTTAGGTGCTCCACATAGTCTATGGCTAGGTTGTTTATGTTGTTATATATTTTGTCTATTAGCTAGAAGGAGCTCTGCTCTTGATTAACTTGATATTTTTGATTGAAACAATATATTGTAGAATTTTCGGGAGATTCTATTTATAGAGAAGGTTTTGCTAAAATTTCTACAAAAATATTATAGCATTTTATTAATACAAAAAATGTTTATGCATATTCTAATTCAAACTAAAACATAATTATGTCTTAGTTATGGAAAGATTAACCAGTTCAAGGCTTAAGGGATGTGCGGTGATTCACATCCTGTACCAATCACCCTCTATTTTTAGAGCATGATATAGCAATACTGTTAGCCCTTAATGTGCCATGGTACACCTAGCTAGCAAGGTACTTATAGGAGGTGCTAGCCCTATATGATGGCCAATGCACTTGGAACAAAGGGATAGTTATTCGAGAGTATTGTACTCACGTTTGTATTAGTAGGCTTCATGCCTGTGTTTGGTTCGTGGCTTTTGCCATGCTTGTTTCATGGCTTTCGGCCATGCTTGACTAATTACTTGCCCTTGTACATTGTGTGTCCACACTTGATTGGTTATTTATCCTCATGAACTATATGTCCACACTTGTTTTTCATTCTGAGAAAGCCCTCCTAAAATTTCAAATTAAAATTCATCATTTTTTGGAAATTCTTTGGAAGTACTTTATGCAATTGTATTTATTGTAAGTATTTATATTTTAAGAGCAGTAAAATTTTTAATACACATATGTGATTCTATTAGCCTTGTCTAAATTCACAATCACACTATTATGAAAAATCATTATTTATTTTCAATTTTGGATAATTCATTATTTCATTAAGTTATTTGAAGTTAAATTTGTTATTTATTATCTTTATATTTTCTTTATTATAATCTTGATTGGAACGCTACTCACTGGAAAATTTTTTGATCTCAGATATTGTAGCTAATCTTGTGCCTCTAATTGACCATTGAAGGCCCTTGTTTTTTGGGAAAAAAGGAAGCACATGGTGATTATTCTTTTTAGTGAAATCTTATATTGTATTTTATAATTTATAAGTTAATGCTCCACGTACAGCATAATTAGATCCTAGTCATATTTTGTTATTGTAAAAATTGCTGAAATGGAGTTTGACTCCTTGCTGGTCTAATTGGCAGGTTCTATTGTTGTTATGAAAATTTTGAGAGGTCCAAGCTTTAAAGGAGACTCTACTAAAATTTTTACAAAAACTTTAAAACTTTACGAACTTTACTATTATATATAACTTGCATATATCGCTATTTTAGCTTAATTTTTAATTAATCAAGGCTTATAGAATGTGAGTTTATTTCATATTCTATACCGATCATATCCATAGTATCAAGGTGTGATAACATCACTCTCCTAGAAATTGATATGGATAAGTTCTCAAGCCATATAACTTTTTCAAGAAAAGTGACGTTGCTTGTGAAATTAAATTCCCACCATTTAGTTGCCACGTAAAATCCCAAATGTAACATCTCCCTTAACTAAACACCATAAAACCATTATTCAAGGTAATCAAGGGATTAACCTATAATGAGATTACAAAATTTGTAATTTGAAATAATGAAATCTCAAGTTTTCATAATTTAAAATGAATCAAAACCATTCATTGACCTTTAATCAGAGCAAAATAAAGTTTTGAAAATATGGGATATCTCAGAGGAGTGAAAGAAGTTAAAAAACCTCATGTTACTGAAAACAGAGCAGTGGGCCATGGCTTAATGCACATATGCCATGGCTATTCTTCTTTATGCTACACATCATGATGCAAGCGCTATGGGCTACGGCATGTTTGCATGTCCATGATAGCAGATCCAGGCAACTTTAGCTTGCCTTATTTCTCTGTCCAATGTTTGAATGAGATGATCTACATATCTGCGGAAAGCTCTTTTTATAATCTAGCTAATGGCATAGGTTTCACTTTCAAAATAAGTCATACTAGGAAGTTGGACACCCAAACATATTTTTACGACTTTTCTCAACTTTCACAATAAAAAGGTGTCCAAAAACCTACACAATTGCCAAAAGCCTTTTCTAACACCTAGATCATATTCATTGGACCTAAGACTACTTGTACAATACACCACATGCACAAATACACCATTATCTCACAATTTCACTCCTCAACCCCTTTAATAAAAAAAAATAGAAGGGGGAGGTTTTAGTATTGCATTTCAAAAGGACATTTAATAATGTAATCAAATGAACATTCATACACTTGCACTAGTATTTTAACCCTATCAACTTTTACAATTATCATAAATAATATTTTAGGGTCTAAAATATATTCTAAACATCGTAAACGACCATAGAGTGCAAATGTAAATAAAATGCATCCTAATTGGCAATAACCAATCTATTACATAAAATAAAAAAACCAAAGAGGCATACAATAGGAATACTCATATTCCTAAGCCTTCAAAGCTTTTTTTCTCTTTGCACTAAAGCTAAAGCCTATAAAATCTTAAAGAAGAGGGATGAGTCTAGCCACCCAGTAACCAAGATAAGTCTATCCTATGAAGTTGTATATCAATTGAA